ATCCCATCCCTCTGCAAAGGAGAGGCTCCGTGCTTTAGGAGAGAATTCATGTAGCAAGATCCCCACCTGGAAGAGCCGAGGCGTTTGCTGTTGTCACAAACCTTTCCATTTCTGACAGCTAACAGGGAAATTGTCTCCCTGGGTTTGCCCTGAGCAGCGTGCCTGGCTGGTGCCTGTGGCTGCTGAGCTGCAGGCAGGGAGCAGCCCGGCTCTGCTTGGCTCGCAGGGGAGGTGGCACACAGGAGATGTCACACGGCTGCGCCCTGTGCCACCCCCGGGGACCTCGCCCTGGCACCTGCCGGGAAGTTCAGCCTTAGGTGCTGCTGCTGCACCTGCAAAACAAGAGCTTAATTAGTGTTAATTACCAGAGCAGCTGGCTCAGAGCAGGACTAACCCGCGGGCGGGCGCTCCCGAAGGTGAAGACCCAAGCGGGACAGAGGCAGCATCACTGCCGGGCTCCGATGGGATCCTCATTATCGCATCAAAGCACGTCCAGCCTGGCTCCTCCACAGCCCAGCGGGGGAGTTGGCTCAGGAAACTTCCCCTCGCCTGCCTCTGCGCCTGCTTCCCAAGTTTCGTTTTGATTTTGGGGGCTGGATAAGCCCCAAACACAAAAGGAAGTCGAGACAGAGTGGGTGACTGTCACGTCAGGATTCTCAGAGCCTCAGCTCCCGTTCAGGCGAGTACCAGGGGAGGCTGGGGGTGGATGAGCAATCCTAGGAGCTGTTTCCAGCACTGCCTCTTACAACTCTGTTTTCTTCTGGTGGGACGGCTGACAAACGGGAAGAGACATCTCTCATTCCAGAGATCAAATTGCACAACAAATTAAAACGCTCCCTGGAGGCACTGCTGCTCCCTCTCCTCTCAAAGCCAAAGCCTGCCCTGACTGCAGAGCAGGTGTCCGTGCCACCGGGGCTCACTCTTCCTCTGGGTGATGAGTGTCAGGGCCAGTCTGGCCTCAGCAGGGGCCGTGGCTCATTCATAGCCCGTGAAACCTCAGGGAAATGCAGGGAACTCCCCACTGGCTCCCTGACAGATCAAAAGTGGGGCTGCCCTGCTGTGTTCTACAGGAACCTGCAAAAATCCAAAGTGTTCATTTTAGGCAAGCTTTTGATATAGGTAAGATCCTCAGAGAGCAATTTAGTGACACTAAAATGAGATTAGAGCTTGTTCTTCCACAGCTTGTTGTTCTGCTTGCAGTTCCAGGAGCTGAGCATTCCACAGTTGCCATAAATCCCCCCTGTAAATAGCTCTGGATGTCCTTTGAACAGTACAGCTGTTAGAGCTTATGAGCACCTCCAGGAAAATCAAGATGTTGCACTGATGTGAAATCTGTACCTCCATGCTCCTGGAATTGGATCCTTCATCCCATTCCAGCACAAGGTTTAATTTGGCTGCCTCCTGCTCCTACCTGTCTGTGTGCATCAGCTGGAAAGGAAGGAGCAGGGCTTCTCAGACTCAGAGCTGCACATCCTGAATGCCACTGCCTGAGGTGAATCCCATCCTGAACAGAAAATCAATCCCTCTGCATTTCCATGTTTCCATCCCAGCCCAAAAATATCCAAACTGTGCTGCCATTTGGTGTTAAATCAGCCCTTCTGCAGCCTGCTGATCCCTGCAGCTCTGGAACGTATTTCAAACCTGTGAGGCCATTGAAAACTTTTTCACCACCTCAGCAGGGGCACGGTGATGTCACTGGCGTTGGTTTGCAGCTGAAAATCTGCTCTTAGGTCTGGCTGGTCATTAATTAGTGCAAATTGGGAGATGTCTGTTGAAATAATACGTGAAACACAGCAGAGTTTGCAGTGTAGGGATAAGGAAGCAAAAGCAGGGACTCACATGGACCAGGGGAAGGTGATCCTGCCTGGTGATCAAAGAAAAGCTCCTGAAAGGCCTTTGGTGCTGATTGAAGCAGTGCCTCTCAAGAGCCCTGCTTGGTGTGGCCTTGGCTGTGCTGGGGTTGGTGCACCAGCCCCTGTGACAGGCACAGAAAGGCACTTCCAGCCTGGGCTGGGGTCAGGAGCTCTGCTCTGCTCCCAGCTGGCACCTGGGACAAGGGTGGGCACAGCGCTGTGCAATCCCACAAGGTGGGCAAGGGTCCCAGCCATCCACCTGCCACGGACAAACCTCCTTAGGGGAGAAGCCTCTAAGCCTCTGTGCATTCTCCAGCTGGAGAATCCATGGAGGACGTTGGGGAAAGTGGGATTTCTGCAGCCGCAGGGGCTGTGAAAATCCAGGGCCACACTTAACCCCTGGCGTAACCCTGCTTGTGTGGAGGACGTTGGGGAAAGTGGGATTTCTGTGAAAATCCAGGGCCACGCTTAACCCCTGGCATAACCCCGCTTGTGTGGTGGGTTTGGGGCTGGTTTGGAGGGATGGCCGCGGTGCCGGCAGATGGCAGTGCCTGTCAGAAGTCCACTGTCGGGAGAGCCAGAATTCCAGCATCGGGAGAGCAGAATTCCACTGTCGGGAGAGCAGAATTCCAGCATCGGGAGAGCAGAATTCCAGCATCGGAAGAGCAGAATTCCACTGCCTGGAGAGCAGAATTCCAGCGCCGGGAGAATAGAATTCCACTGTCGGGAGAGCAGAATTCCAGCGCCGGGAGCCTCGGGAATCTGCCCAAGCCGGGAAAGGTGTCAGGGACACGCACAAAGCACGGAGCCACTCGAGCTCCTGTGCCACGGGAGCCGTGCGGAGCTGGCAGACACCCACCCAGCACAGCGGGGACCCCTCCGGGCCCCCTCTCCCCGTTCCTGTCCCGTTCCTGTCCCGTTCCCGTCCCGTTCCCGTCCCGGTCCCGTCCCGGTCCCGTCCGGCCGCCCGGGCCAAGCCCGCGGCTGTGGAAGGAGGCTCCCCCAGCCCTGGCTGTGACACACCGGCCTTGCAGGCACTCCACTCCTCCAGGGCTGCTGCCTGGGCAGCACAAAGATTCCTCCTACATTTCCTAGCACACAAATTCATTCCAAATCTTATTAACAGAGATGAGATGAAGGAGGAAGCGGAGCTGATGCCATTCTGAAGGTGGCACTGTCCTTAGTGCTGGGGAAGCAGCGTCCAGGGACCTGCTCTGAAAGCCCACGCTGTGATTTAGGGGGGCTGACTCTCCCACTGAATGAATTTACTCTTTAGTGCTTATTAAGGAAGTCTGAATGCTCATTAAAAATACCCAAACTTTGACTGTACTCCCCAAACAGCACTTTTATGAAGTTATCACAGACATACCCCTAAAAGGTAAAAGTAATTCTGCTGAAAAGACATTCCTGGCAGTTATAAGCAGGCAGAAGATGTGATGGAATTTCACAGAATTTGATCAACAGTTCATTACCACGGCCTTTGCTGTCACTGCAAGGGGTTTCATGCTGGCTGGAATTCAGCCCTGAGCTGCTGCAGCCTTGCTGGGCCACCCGGAGCTGCTGCTGGGCAAACAGAGCCAGGCTGGCTGGGCTGAGCTCGCTGCCCACGCTGTGCTGCAGTGCCAAACACGAACTAGCACGTGGCAAAGCAAAATTACACCTTCAAAACTGATTTTGATGGCTGAAATCCGTAGTCTGGCTCCCGATTCCTGTCCCATCTGGACAGATCCAACATCCACAGCAAAGAACCAGAGCACTGATAAAGGGAGTGTGTTTATAGAGATGGGCTTTCTTCTCCCAGTCCCTGGGCAGTATGACTATTAATAATATTCAAACCTGTGGTTATTTCCCTTTCTTCAGCATGTCTGTCTTTGATTTTCCCAGTCTAGTCTCCATAATAAGGCATTATGTAGCCTAGATTTAAGCTGGTTAAGACCCAGGTTTTCTGACGTACATGAAGTTCCATTAGTTCCCTTTTTACCCTAAATAATAAATTGCAAAATGTTTATATAGGAAAATAAAAACAAATATCATTCCAATGCTGATGTATTTTATTAGTGATAGTGTAACTTTTAAAAAAGGAAAAAATTGAAAATCATTGGAAGGAGAACAAAAAGTAGCTTGCAGATTCCAGTAATACCCACACAATCCTGCACTGTGCTTTGGTTTGGGTAAATTCTCTTTTCCTGACCAGACAAATCTTCTGTGAAAGGTTTTCTGATGGGCTGTAATGTGTGTGCTCCTGGAATAGGGAATTAGGGAGGACAGGGGGACAGGACTGGCAACAAAGCCTGGGGGTAACCTGCAGTCACCAGGCAGATCTGCCTGAGATATGCAGCTGGCCTGACATTTGCTTTTCAGAAAAGGAAATATTTCACTAAGCTGGGGAGACAGTGTGGTATTATCAGTGACAAAGGAAAAAAAAAATAAAAGAAAAGAAAATAAAAGAAGAAGAAAAAAGAGAAAGACAAAAAATTACGGCAAAGCACTGAAGCACTTCGAGAGCACTCCCGGGGACCGGCTGGATCCCAGGCAAACCCCACAGCGGGCAAACACCATGGCAGAGCCTGATGGAACCACGCTCCCTGCCTTGTCCCCACCGTCCCTGGTCCAGCCCAGGAGTTTCCGCGGTGCCGGGGACGATTTTCACCCGTGTGAAACGCGCGGCTCCCGCGCTCTCCCTTCCTCCCGGCTTTGGGAGCTGCGGGGTCTGTGCGATGCTGAGAGCCCCGGAAGGATGCGGTGCCATGCCATGCCATGCCGTGCCGTGCCGTGCCCTGCCATGCCATGCCATGCCATGCCGTGCCGTGCCGTGCCATGCCATGCCAAGCCATGCCATGCCATGCCATGCCGTGCCGTGCCGTGCCATGCCATGCCAAGCCATGCCATGCCATGCCATGCCATGCCAGCCCAGCCCAGGGGCGCGGCCCGGAGCCCCTCGCTGGGAGCTCGCAGGTCTTTCCCGAGCTCGGAGCTCCTGCGATCCCGAGCTCCCAGGCAGGGATTCGCCTCCCCGCCTGCCCTCCCTCCCTTCCTCGCTGCCGGCAGCGCCCAAACCCCTCCCTCGCCCCCCGCCCCTGAGCAGATCAGGCGCCGTCGCACGCAGCTCCGCGCCCTCCCTCTGCCCCAGCCCTTCAAAAGCTCGGGAGCGCCGCGGATCCCCGGAACAGGAGCGGGCACGGCGGGGCAGGGCGGGCGGAGGAGAGGCCAAAGTGGCACGGCGGGGGCTGGGAGCCGAGCGGGAGCACCGCGGGTGCCCAGGGCAGGGCGTGGGCAGCCCGCGCCGATGCTCGCTGCCGGCGGGCAGCGCCGAGGGGGCGGCGGGCAGCCCGGGGCCCCCGGGAGCAGCCCGGCTCCCCGGTGATGGCATGGACCCGCCGCTGCCCGCCAGCCTCCCGCAGCCCCGCTCCTGCCGCCCCCCGAGCCCCGGCGCGACTGATGCGGAGCCGCTCGTAGCCAGTAAGTTACGGTTCCTTTGTTATTCCCGGTCACTCCCGATCCTCTCCGGCTGCAGAGGATCGGGACAAACGCGGAGCTGTTGGGCCAGCGGGGTGCCAGGCTCCTGTGCCCGGACCTGCCCGGGTGCGAGCTGTGGACAGGCTCCTGCCTAACTCACAGCTGCCACGGAACTCTTGGGAAGGCAGGGATTGGATGCTGATCCTGGGCAAAAGCACTGACAGATCTAAAGGTGTGATGCACGAAAAGACATTAAATAAAATAGGAACTGCTCAGATACAGGATTAGTGGAGATCACTGGAATTCAAAGGGCACCAGGAGACTGATCAGTGAGCAGCCCTGAATTATGAAGTGACTCCATAATCCTTATCTGGAGCCCAAGATTAAATTCTTTCATAATTAGGATACTTGCCAGTCAGCTTGGAGTTACAGAGCCCTGGCAGTGCAGCCTCCAGATGAGCAAGTGGCATATGCAGCCCTTGGAGGGACAGGGAATGCAGTGCGCTGGGAATCCCTCGGGGGTTATGGCTCTGGGAGGTAAAAGCATGACTGATTTTTTTACCAATGTCCTGTTGCATCACTCAGAAAGGCGCCTGGGGTTCTCCTTGTGCCAGCGCCTGGTGGTTGGGAGCACCAGGTTAACTTTTACACAGCCTCTCCCTTGGGTTTGAACAGGGAGTTTCAGGGACCAGCCGAGAACGGGCAGAATCTGACCCTGTCCCAAAAAACTTCCCTCTGGCTTTTGGAGATTCTCATCAAGCAGCTCCTTCCTCCTGTGCCCTTTTACTTCAAAGTAGACCTTGGATTTGTAGAAGAGGAGCTCGGAGGGAAACCAAACTGGCTTTTCTCACTGGTTCTCTGACCAGTCCAAGCAACCAGGATCTCCTGAGAAGGTGGGCAGTGTGTGGGGCAGTGTTTGTGCTGGGGGTTATTTCACTTGTGAGCTTCAGTTCTTTGGCTCGCTATTCCTGCCCAGTTGGAGATAAAGGATTAGGATAATTTCTGATTCCCATGGCAGAATATTTTCTATCTCTAGAAAGTTCCAGCCCAATTATTTGTGGGAAAAAGAAGAAGAAGAAAAAAAAAATCAGTAAACAGAGCTTTGGAGTAATATTCCAAGGCAAATGTCCAGACTCCACTGTTTAAGTCACCCAGTTTCTGTTGGGTTTGAGGTCAGGAGAGGCACTTGGATACTTGGGGCAAGCACTGGCCCTTGTCCAACAGCTTGGTATGAGGTCAGTTTGTCCCTCTGTCACTCTGACCCCTTTCTGCAGTGGGTTCAAGCACTGCTGAAGGCCTTGGGGCAAAAAGAGCCTGTGTTTGGTAAACCCATCAGTGAACTCTTTGGGTGCAAGGTACTGCAGAAGTGTGAAGTAGTCCAACAGTTTAATGTATTTTTAAAAAGTTTTTTGGTGTTTTTTGGGTTTTTTTTAGTTTTGTTTTGTTTTTTAGTTTTTTATTGTATTTTTTTAAGCCGCTGCAGATTCCAGAGTGATTCTCTGTTGCTGCAATGGTAAATTCCTAAACAATGGAGAATGGGAACACTGCTGCTCCTGGGGCAGGATTTTCTCCTAGAACTGAGATTCTGCTTTCTCAACATTCAGTGTTTGCTGTTCAGAGTAAACAGCCAGGAGCAGGAGAAACAGGAGTGTCTGATCAGGACAGAGGTGTCCCTGGCTTTGTTCAGTTGTGCTGCTTGAAAGACAATGGTCAGATTTTCAATGACACCATAAGATGTCCCTAAAATAGAGCTGGGGTGAGAGGCCAGGGACAGAGAGGCTGCAGAGTGCTTCAGGCACAGTCACTTCCTTGGAGGTGGAAGGATCAAATTGATTTATTTCCAGGCTTTATTTGTTGTTGGTAGAGAAAATATCATTTGACTGTTCTGTATCGTGGAAAACACCTAAAAGCACAATATTGTGGTTGCATCCTTTGCTCGGGGACTAGTCACGCTCAAGGTCTTTAATTCAATGAAGTACAAGAGAATTGCCTGGGTGTTACATGGATTAAATCCTCCCATCCTTCCTGTGCAGTGGAACTGTGCCATAGGAGACAGTCCCAATCTTATAGAAACTCCATATTCTTTAGTCCATGTGCTCTAACAAGTTGTAAAAGCCTGAATGATGCCTCAATAGCATTTTCTAGTTGTTATCTTCTTTTTCTGTAAAAAAAAAGATCAGTTTTGTTTCTCCACTCTGTTCTGTATAGGTCTGGAGTCATTATATTTAATGCAGCTGTGAACTTGTGATATGTGTGGGGTTTTTTTACTTCAAATCCATAGCTGAGGGAAAAAATGTATTTGAAACCTGTAGCTATTTGAGAGAACAGCAAGTGCCTTCGTTGGCTTTGGAAATAATCTTGCTGGGTTATTCATCTGGTGGATCAGGCTGTGGAGGCTCTGCAGAGAGATCTTCAGACACACCTGAGACAGACAGCAACTGCATTCCCAGCTGCTGGAGTGGGGGAAGGAGGAAAGAGTTCTGCAGTGATTCCAGGGGCTCATTTCGGATTTTGGAATGGCTAAATTTAATTCCTGCCCTGCCACAGACTCCTAGTTGAGTGTTGAAGAACTAAGTGTCTTTGTGAGTGATTCCCCCATCCTGAAATAGGGGAAATTGAGCCCTTCCTTGCTCCAGACCTCTTGGAAAACACATAAATAAAATTTTATAGCACATGATATCTGTGCTGAGTGCTGTAAAACACTTGGGTACTCTGGGAGTGGGAGAGTCACGTTCCTCCCTCACAACTGGCAATGGAAGGATCTCAGAGGAGAAGGATGGATTGGGAGGTAACTCACGGGTAAAAACAAAGTGCAAATGTCCATAAACCCTTCCTTGAGGTCAGATTGGCTCCCTGGCCAGAGAGATTTTCTTTGGAAAGACTGAGCACCTTCTGTTGGGGTATTCTGAGCCAGGGGCACTCTGGGCACACAGGAGCTGTCACAGCCCAGCTCTGTGACAAGCACAAAGCCATCCTGGCCCTTCAGGCTAACCAGCAGCCACCCATCTCCGTGAGCTGTCACATTCTGAGTGCCAGGAAAGTGGTGCTGAGACTTGCCCAAAACTCACAGAGGAGATGAGAGGCACCTTCCCACCTCAGTGCTGAGTGAGGTGACACTTGGAGAGGCAATTACTGGGGTCAGGGAGCTTTGGAACGTTTGTTTGTGAAGTGCCACAGGTCTCCCTTCTTGTGCAGTGTCTTTGAATTTTTCCCTGGCTTTCAAGGGCACAACTCTTCTGCAGCCTCCCGTCCACCTGTGGATCCCCAAGCACTTCCCAAAGAGGCAGCCACCAAAACCCCAAACCTCTATTTATATGAAGTCAGAAAGTTGGAACATTCCATGGATTCCCCCAAATCCACCTGCCTTTCCTCACCTTGCATGCACAGATGTGTGTGGAAAGGAAGGCTGGTGGAGCTGACTGCTCAGTCCCACTCACACACAGGCAGTGATAAAAGGAGGAAAGATGCCTTTCTCTGGGAAATCAAAGCCCCACCTCAGTCAGAGCCTATCTCAAGTAATTTTTCTTCAGATTGTCAAAGGCCATCTTCTCCTAAGACTTCTCCTTCCTCCATCTTTCCATGAGCACTCAGTCTTCAGCAGCCAATGCTTTTATTCTCTTCAGTGCTGCTGCTTTAATTTCCTTTATTCCTGCACCTACCTCCCTATGTTGCTCCTGTCTGACAATTAAGAATTTCATTCCCTTGCAGCACTGTAACCTAAAGCAGAATTATGTGGCCCAGAGGAACCTGGGCACAGTAACCTGGTTTATGGGGTGTGGGCCAAGAGGCAGCAGCAGAACCAGATCAGGTTTTTCAGTAATCTCTGTTCAGTGTTATTGGTTGCTTGTTGAGAAGTACAGCACTCATTGTCTGGAAAAAAAAAGAAGATAGGGTTAAGTGGAAAAAAATCAAAATTCTGGGAAGTTGTGGGAGGTTTGCTAAAGAACAGTTGCTCAATTATTCTCCCAATGTGAGAAAACACAGGCATCAGGTTTAAAAGAAACAAAAAGAAGTCTGCCTTTACACAAACCTGATGACAGATTCACATCTTTAAACTCCACCTGCCTGCCAGTTTGGTCCCTTCCAGCATCAAATCCCATCCTCACAGAAATTTGTGTGTTTACTGCAGCCAGATCAGCAATTGTTTAAATGGAAAAAGCTCCCTGGTCAGCAGGGAAAGAAGTTTCTTCAAGTGTTTTATAGTTTTGACCTCCTTGCTGTCTCTGGCAAATTGCTGGACCTGCCAGGAGCACACCAGCTCTGTCAGGAGCTGCTCTGGCAAACACTGTCTCCTGGAGATTCTCACCCAACCCCAGCCTGACTCCTGTGCAGCAGATCCCAGCCCCTAAATGTCACTGCCTGCCCCGAGTGTGTCATCTGGGCAGAGATGAGCATCAGCAGGGCTGATAAAAACCTCTCTGCAAGGCTGATAATGCACTGACTCACAGCTCCTCATGCAGTAGCCTGTCCTAAAGGAAGGCAGCTTTGTACAGAAGTGACATTTTTATTATCCTGGCCTCGTTTAACCAAAGACAGCAAATGCCAGAGAAACAGAACAGTGCCTGTGACTGTAAGAGGCAATTTCACCCCATGGCTCTCTGTGCTGGAGGGAGCAGGGATTTACAGACTGGAGCTGAAATCTCTGGGAGATGCAGGACCAAATTTACCATGATCTGGCAGAGATGTCTATGGCTGTGCACTGCACAGGGAAGAGTTAACCAGGTCCTTACCCAGTTACACTGCTCCTTTCAGAGCTTCTTGTCATTTGGGATAAAGTTCCCCAGGGCAGTTTAAATCATGAAAGAATGACAGCAAATTTTCTAGAAGATTCTGCTGCCTGGGATCTCACAGACCATCCAGATCCATATCACAAATTTTACTGTTGAGGAATTAAGGCAGAAGGAAGAGCAGTGATTTGCTCAGAATTAGAAAACCCTGGAATCATTTGGAGCAGAAAGCTGGATAGTCTGCAGCCATCCAAAGCTGTGCTCAAACTGCTAACCAGGAGCATTCTGTTTAAAGACTCTGAAGCAAAAATTCATATACTTAATTATTTTTAATAACCACACTGAGGTTGTGCTCATACTACAACAGGAAAGTTAAAGATGAAATATTGGTAGGAATTGTAATGCCACTAAAGCTGTCAGTGAACTTCCTATCCAGCAGGAATTTTTCTGCTTTACTGGATCACTTGGAAGGTGTTCCTGAAGGTTTGCAGAGATGTTTCAGCTGAGCTGTTGCTGGAGATCAGTAGCACCACCAGAGATGTTGCCAGCCCTGTGTTTTAGTTAAAAAGGTTCCTCCATGTATTCATTAATGGGCAGTTCCTTAAACCTGCTCCACCAGGGTGATCTTTCCAGGCATTTAGGATTCTGTGTTGCTTTTCCTGTATTCTGTTCTTTGTAATAAGTTTCAAGATCCTTTTGGTCTCTTTGGTGTGAATCTAAACATGTAATCTTCCACTCTAGATTGAAGTCTGGAACTGGATTGTTCTCTCTCCAATGGTGCCAGTGATAGCTTCAAATTTACTGTTATAAGAAAATTATCTTTAAAACAAGTCTTTTAAAATTGAAAGCAACAGGCAACACTTGCCTGGTTTTACATTTAGATTGATGACAGCTTTTTAGTCCAAATGGAGTAATTTTAGATTAATCAATCAATGCAAACATACATCAAGAATATTATTTGTAAGAAGGAAGTGAGGAGGTTTTCCACTGATTTCCAGTGGTGGGAGGCTTCTTTCCCTATTAAAGAGGGGGCAGAAGTGTGTGATTGTTCTGCCATGTGCTTTCCCATGTTGGGAAGTGAGTGTCAAGCTGTGCCCCTGCACAGTTTTCAGCATCTTGCAGCACTTTGCACACGTGTAAAGAGACGAACCTCAGAGAGCAGAGAGAGCCAGGCCAGCGGGTCTGGAGGTTTGCCTTGCAGCAGGCAGTGAAAAGCAGCTGAGGATGTGTGTGAGTGCACCCTGAGCCAGCTCTCAGGAGGGACAGACAGAGCAGGGGTCAAAATCCTGGCTGGAGAAAGGGAGCCCACAGCACTGGGATTATCTACCCCATGTCCAGGGGGGTGGCAAACCCAATCCCCCCGATTTCCCATCCCAGCACCAGGAATTCCCACTGCCAGCCCTGGTGTGCAGCCCTGTCCTGGCCCTGGCAGCAGGCAGCAGTGCTGGCTGTGCTGGCACAGATGGTCGGGCTCTCTGCGGAGCCCAGCCAGCGGGGCCGGTTCCAGCAGCAGGCTCCGGCTGCTTCGTTGGAGCACTGATCGATGGTGACTTAGACAAGGGCCACGAGGAGTTCTCTGCCATTAACCAGACTTGGCTGCAGCCGAATGGAAGTGAAAATTTGTTGCTTCATTTCTTCATCCTGCCTCTGCTTCCTTCCCGCCCACCCTTTGTGCTTTTTAATACCGAAAAGATGGAGCTACTTTGTTCAGTCTTAAAAATTGTCTCTCCCAAGATACTCTTAATTGTATCTCTACACCTTTCCTCATTCACAGGCGCATAAGAAGATTAAAGACAGAGGGAGCAGTAATAGATTTAGTTAGGTTTTAATAGGATTTGCAGAGGACAATACGGGGAATGAACGCCATAGAAAATATTGCTGTTCTATCTTTGATATCCCTAAGGCTCCTTAGATAGTCTTTGACAGAGATTTTGTCTGTGCCCTGCATCCAGAGTCAAGACTCTCATTTTTTAAAGGAGTATCTAATCATCTCTGTAAACAGGATGTTACATTAGAACTGGCAGACAGCATTGCCGCCCTCATCTCGTGTTATTTATTTGTATCCTGGTAAGCATTACTCTGAATGTCGACAGTGGGCTTTTTAATAGCTCTGATGCATTCCTAAAAGTGCCCAGTGATTTTGTCTAATGTCAGGTGGAGCAAAGGGGTGAGCTCTGATAGATCTCATTAACAGCAGGCCTGGATTCATCACACCCTCACGCGTGGGATTCAAGATGCTCAATTAAATGTTTATTTCACGTTTAAGCCCAGGCTCAAGAATAAACTTCCAGAAGGTGATTCAGCACTCCTGAAATCTGAGTTATCCCTGGAGATGCCTTTCTCTGCTGACTGCAAGGGAAGCCTTCATGCATAATTTAGACTCATGTGAGATTTAGGTAGATAGTGGTGCTCAGCATTTTCCCTTAATTTCTGAGGTTTCTCTTGATATGCACCCAAAACCTGAGGCATGAAATAGCTCCAGTCCCTCCTGAAAAGTTATTGATGTAGCTTTGTTCTGAGTTGTGATCTCAAGCAAATTTGGTGTGTAAAAAAATCTAAGAACAAAAAGAAAGCCCCAAAATGTTCAAAGGTTTAAGTGTTCCACGCTCCCACAGTGTGCCCATCACCCTGCTGATGTTTGAAGGGCCTGTGTGTGTGATAAATCAGTCTTTAATTCTGGGTCACTGCAGGGCTGTGTTTAACAAGTGGCTGTTGTGGGAGAAGAGTCAGCCCTCCAAAATCAACGTTCTGATGGTCCAGACAGTGAAACAAAATGGCTTTGTTCTCTTTTCCTTCTGCCTGAAACGGTCTTTGCTTGTTGTGCAGCCCAGCCATGGCTGGAGATTCCCGGATCTTCATGAACCAGGACATGGACATCGGGGTCACATCCCGGGAGCCCAAGAAGATCCCCAAGCAGGCTCGGGATGACGTCCCCATCGCCACGGACAGGACCCGGCTCATTTCCACCGAGGGCAAGAAGCCGCGGCAGCGGTACATGGAGAAGAGCGGCAAGTGCAACGTGCACCACGGGAACGTGCAGGAGACCTACCGGTACCTCAGCGACCTCTTCACCACCCTGGTGGACCTCAAGTGGCGCTTCAACCTGCTGGTCTTCACCATGGTCTACACCATCACCTGGCTGTTCTTTGGGTTCATCTGGTGGCTCATTGCCTACATCCGGGGAGACCTGGACCACCTGGAGGACGAGAACTGGATCCCCTGCGTTGAAAACCTCAGCGGATTCGTGTCGGCGTTCCTGTTTTCCATCGAGACCGAGACGACCATCGGGTACGGCCACAGGGTCATCACGGAGAAGTGTCCCGAGGGCATCGTGCTGCTCCTGGTCCAGGCCATCCTGGGCTCCATCGTCAACGCCTTCATGGTGGGATGCATGTTTGTCAAGATCAGCCAACCAAAGAAGAGGGCGGAGACCCTCATGTTCTCCAACAACGCTGTCATTTCCATGAGGGATGAGAAGCTCTGCCTCATGTTCCGGGTTGGGGACCTCCGCAATTCCCACATTGTCGAGGCTTCCATTCGAGCCAAACTGATTAAGTCCAAACAGACCAAAGAAGGAGAGTTTATTCCCCTGAATCAAACGGACATCAACGTGGGATTCGACACCGGAGACGACAGGTTGTTCCTGGTGTCCCCTCTCATCATCTCACATGAGATCAATGAGAAAAGCCCCTTCTGGGAGATGTCCCGCACCCAGCTGGAGAAGGAGGAGTTTGAGATTGTGGTCATCCTGGAAGGAATGGTGGAAGCCACAGGTAAGGACCTGTCAGCAATCAGTCACTGTTTGGAGGAGGACAGGGGCACAAAGCATTGTGGGCAGTTTGGCATCAGGATTTCACTGTCCATGTTACCTGGACTGGAAACACAGTGAGGTTTGTTCTTGGGTAGTGCCTGACTCAGGTGGGGCATCTGGGATAACCAGCAGTGAAAAGTTGGGCCTTTAGCTCATACTGTAGGGTTTCACCCTCTTTTATAAGTCTGGGATTGAGGTGAAGGGGTTAGTCCTGGAGCTGCTCATAATCACTTAGAACTGATCCACAGGAGAAAAAAGCAATGGATTGAAGGAATTCTTGAAGTCTGTGGTGGTCCTGTTTCCTGTGATCAAAATTCATGGTGCAAATCTTCTCCCATTTTGTCTCTGTATTACAGATTGGCTGTAACTGTGCTATTTTAGTTACTGCTGTAGTGTTGATTTTAATGGGGGCTATGAAGTGCCCAAGTCTCCCTGTATCCCATAAAGCAGCACGTGCTGAGGCTGAATGACTTGCACGTGGTGCAGGACACACATTCCCAGAGGGAGCTCAAAGAGGAAAAATACAGAAACTGCTTTTGTGACTTTTGCAGCCCTGCAGCTGCTTAACAGCTCAGACAAAGCTGGGTAATGGGAGATTAGGAGATATCCTCAGCCCATTCCCAGTGTCTCCTAGGGGTGTGTTTGTGGCAGAGATGAAAGAACTCTGTGTCTGTCTATAGTGACTCTGGAAAAGGGATAACGCTCAGCTTTCCACGGCATGGGGAAGGCAGCTGAGGGAGGGATGGGCACAGAGGCTCCTTCCCACAGGTATCTCCCACAGGAGCTCTGGCAGCACCTGGCAGTCATTTCCATGGGTCATTTCCACTCACGAATCCCTTTGCTCCAGGTTTGGGGAGGAGCTGGCAGCTCTTCCTGCTGCACTTGCGGCACAGCGAGTGTGTCCAAGTCCCCGAGATGCTCGGGTGCCTTCCAGGCAGGGTTTTCCAGGCCGGGGTGGGCAGAAGGCCTTGATGGAATCAGGGTCTGCAGGGGGAAAGGACTGCAGGCAGCTCCGAGGGAGAGAACTGCTGGCTGAAGATGGACAAACAAAGCCAGAGATGCAAAAAAAGCTTTTATAAGCAGTTTTCCCCTTTGGTGTTTCAGGATTTCAGTTATGAGGCCGGAGTTTTCCTGTGGGTGGTGGTTGGATTTTGTTTTCCATCTCAATGAGGTTCTCTCTGAATCATTAGCAGGGGTTTTCAGCTTGTTACAAGTACTCAGTGGTGTCAGCACTCTCACAGATTCTGCCCCTTGCTGACTGTTAATGTTATCCCCTCCTGCAGATTTGCTCATTAGTTACCACAGCCAGAGGAGCAGAAATCTCTCAAATTGCTGCATCCCAAACCTTTGCTCCCAAAGGCAGCTGTCCAGAGAGGTAATTCAATGTCCCAGGGTTTCCCCTTAGGTGATCAGCAGTGGCTGACTTTCCCAAACAGAGCTGATGGGAGGTGATGGATAAATTACATTCCAGTGGGGCTGGAATATGTGCTGTGCAAGTGGAATTCACCTGGCATGTCCAGGGAAAACGCTCTTCCCCAGCAGAGCATTGTAGAGATGTGGCGAAGGAAAGGGTGGGTGGAAAAGACTATCTAAGGCAAGGATTTGTAACAGTGACTTATTCTGCAGCCTAAACATTTATTAGAGGCTGGAGCTTCCTAATCTGAGCATGGAATGCAGCTCCTTGTTTGTCCAAAGCCTCTTTTCTCGTCACACAGTGACACTGTGGATGCTTTGAGCCCCTGCTGCTCTGCCTTCCTCGCAGGAAGGCTCAGCCTCTGCTGGGGATGTGTGAGAGGAAGTCATTATCAATAACAACCTCGGAATTAAAAGCATGGCAGAGGAATAATATTGCCTTACAAATGGGCTCCTCTCCCAGAGGGACTGCGCAGGCCGGGCTGTAAGGATATTAAGGAGCATACATCTGTGGAAGTGAATTATCCTGGACTCAGAAGGCAGCCTGGGAAGTCCCACCCCGGAGCTGGAGGAGGCATTCTGCATGAACTCAGAGCTGAGTGGACCTTGGATGATTCCAGGAGGCAGTTTGGAGGCTGGGATGGCTCCTGAGGACCTGTGGCAGCAGGGGAGTGGGATATTTTGTGACAAGAAGAGTGGCTTGCAGAGACAGTGTTTGTGCTTTCCTGCTTCATCCTCACACTTGGGAGTATTGATAAAGCAGTTTGGGGTTATTAATCCCTCCCTTCACACCTTAAGATCTGCTCCAAGCAAATTCTTAAGGTACTTCCCTGCCCATGGCACTGCTGAAGCCCCATCTGCTCTCAGGAGTGGTGTGATATTTACTCCCAGCAGGACTTCTGTTAAATCTGACACTGTCACAGCCTGGTTGGGTTCAGGGCACTGTAAAATACAACAGAGCATTTGTTCCCTTAGCAACCCCTATGGAAAATGAGGACTCCACCCCACCGAGTTCAGAGGTACCACTGGTCAGAATATACAGCTCTGCTTTCCATAAGGTGTAGGTAGCAGGCCAGAAAGGTGATCAGCAACATATCAACGGCTGCAGAAATTGAAGCACGACTAAAAGTGGGGATATTTTTCACTGATAATTTGGGACAGTGATTTTATAGCTGTTTTCCGTAGATTTAACCAGGCACACACATATTACAAATGTAATGTATTGTCTCCTCTCAAACAAGCAGCTCTATTTACTGACATTTAAGTTTAATTCTGACCCAGTGCAAGGCAAAGATGGTAAATAGCTTCAAATGAAAAGTGTAGAGTAAATTCTGAGGAGTTCACACCCTTCAAGTCATTGGGTTTTTTACAAAGTGAAACACTGTGACGTAAAACAAAGATTTTGTGTTCAAGTTGCCTTGGCTTTTCAAAGGCCTGAGTAACAGCACACTGAAGAGCAGCAGCTCACCAGCCAGCCTAAAATGCAGTGGGTTTATTTGGCTGAAAAAGATAAAAAAGCTGGTGCTATTGCACTGAGGGCTGTGGGGCACCCGGGGGTGCTGCCCTGAGTGACCCTCAGAGCCTGGCACAAGCCCAGGCGTGGCTTTTCCATTGCTATTTGGGATGGGTGAGGAGGCACGGGGACTCAAGGAGCGGAGGGAAAAGGCCAAAGGGAGGGTGAGTTTCTGGGCAGATCTGTTGTGGTCACTGCTGGGTGAAATGAGCACTGTGAAGACAAAATCAATATTGCTGACAAGTGTGCTTACTCCCAAGGGGCTTCGAGGGCATCTGGGGGCAGCAGCATCACCCCCAGTGCTCCTGGTGAGCTGGCACAGGCATTCCTTCAGGGAATTCCTTATCTTTGCCTTTTCAGAAAGGGATGCTTGTCAACATCAGCTGCCCCAAATCTGACTTGCAATAAAAGGGAACAAAGCAAAGGTGGAAAGTCTGTTTGCACAGTGAAGACATTTTTGCTTTCCTTGTCTCTCTGCTCCCCAAAATCTCAGGGCCACCCTGGTGAAGGACAGCTCCTGCTGCTGCTGGCCAAAGCTCTTGCTCTTCCCCTGTGATCCCAAAGTGGAAAGTGTTTAAAAGCTGCTGGGACAGGGAAGAGCAGGGCAGGTCCAGGCCCCCCTCCCGCGTGGTGTAGTCAGCTGGGTTGTGCTGAAGGATTTGGCTGATCCGGTTAGGGAACATTAGCAAGTCCAATTTTTTAAAATACTGTTTTTCTCTGTAAGCCATGCTGCATGACACACTCTCATATCCTATAAGACTTCCTGGCAGGTAATTTGAAGGGCCTCTCTTCTCTTTCAGCTTTACCCTTCCTCTGCTATTTGCTGACAGCTATCCAAATCCTGATCCAAATCCTGCTTTTTCCGTGGCTTCCTGCTGCCCTGGTTCCCTGGGCACAGCATCCAGCACTGCTGCTCCCTGGGCAGGGAGGCAGCAGAGCTTGTTACTCCACTCCTGGTCCTTCCTGGTCTTTATTGCCTCTTTTTTCCCAGCACAATTAAATAAGGCACAAGAAACACTCCAGATGCCTGATTAGTCCAGTCACTAAATGAAGTTTTAATGAACTCTTATGTAAGTACAGGTATATATTTTTCTGGCTTAGAGTCAGTGTGATAAAAAGGGATTTAATGATTAGAAGTAATTAACCCATCCTGTCCCTGTGGGAGTGTAGGCAAACAGCAGAGTTTTCACACTTCAATTTTCCACCTTTGCAGACAGAGTACAGTTTCCTGGCTGTAAATGTAGGGCCAAATGCAGTAGTCACAACAAAAGAGATGCTGAAATTAATCATGATTTTCATGGGAGCACAAAGGAAGGGTGAAATTACTGAATGGAGTTTCTGGGCATTCATCATCTGGTTTGGGTTGTCTTGTGTTGCTTTGCATTTTGCATATAAATAAGTTTTCTGCAAGGAGGATCTTTCAGAAGTGTTACAGACATTGCCTAAAAAATTATAGGAAGCGATGTCTCAGGTCATTGTGTTCATGAGCTGGGCTGTCCTCTGGAGGCAGAGGCTGGCAGCGGTGTCTGAGGAACCTCTGCAGTCACTGTGAGCCCTAAAGAAGTTACCTGGTGTGAGCTTGGCTCAGGCTGGGCCTGCTGGAGACATGGCAATTGAATCCAAGGTCTTTACATCTTAAAGTCCTTTTATTATATTTTTTCCCAGTGCCTAGGAGCTTTTGCATGCCTGGAGAGCATTCAGATAAATTAAAATCCTATTACTCTCCTCTGGCATAAATATCAAAGTGAATCAAGCCCAGCCATGTCCTCTAAAGGAGACAAGCACAAATAATTGGAGGACCATGCTCCTACCTTCTAATATTCCTTTCCAAGCTGGAAGAATATTGACTTTTTAGATGTTACAGTGTTCTTTAGTCTAATTAACGTAGAGGGACTAATAACTTTTATAACTTACCATATGCTAATGCAAATTGAAAGACACATATTGCTTAATCACAGCAATAGAAGTTAAATTTTTAATACCTCTTCCTTGCCACCCGTAAACTTCCATCACTGGCACGGCACCTCTGAGGCCATCAGCTCCTGGGCAGTGGCTGTTCCACAGCTTCAGAGCATCCAGGAGAAGGAGAAACATCATCCTGGGCACAACAGAATGGGCAGAGAGGGAGATCAGTGCCAGCAGAGCCCTTGTCCCAGGGGGCCGAGCAGATCTGGCCCAGCCCAGGCAGGCACATGACATTTCCCAGCAGATAATCACTGAGCTCCCTGGCATTTCAATGAGCACTGTTAATTTTAGCCTGATGAAAAATGTTGTCTTGACAGCCCCAGGGGCTGGGCTGCCCTGCCTACTGAGGAGCTTCAGGCCAGGGAGCAGCGCTGGAAGGTTCACCTCTGCTGGGGATGGGATCCCATGGAACCTGGGGAGATTTGGGGTTGGCAGAGCATCCTCTGTGTTCCCCGTGCCCTCCCATTAACTGAGGTCACCTGGGATGGGATGTTTGCCAAAAATCAGCATCTCCAACAGCAGGAGAGAGCCTTTGGTGGCACCCAAGCAGCTGCAGCTGCAGATTTGGGGTGGTGAGGTCTGGTTTAGCTGGGCACAGGGAGCACTGTCCCCCTCCCAGCCCAGGCTGTGCTCCGGGGCAGGAGCAGCAGGATCAGCCCGTGCTGAGCCGGCTCCTCCCGCTCCTTGTCAGCACGCTCAGACATTCCAGCCCTTTGCTAACTCGTTATGATGACAGCAAAGACCTATTGCCGAGTTCCTGGCACTTGTTTTACACCCCGGCGTTTGCAATGCTCTCAGATGTGATGAGACACCGGCTTTAATGCACATCACAGTCTGCTCTGGATGTTTCATCTGCTGGGAAGCAGACGGGGCTGTTTAGGGAGCATCCCTGGCTGCCTTGAGCAGGAGCAGGCACAGCTCTGTTATTGATCTGTGGCTGCAACCCACAGACAAAATACCCACTTCTTAGGATTCTGCTGTAATGAAATGAGCATTAAATCTCTGTGCAATGCTTATTGCACAACTTGAAACCAGGACACAGTGCCCTGGTCTCCAGCATCCATAAATCCTGGAACTGGTTCTAGCTTTACTGAAAACTTGATGCATCTACTTCTAACTTCAAACAAGTTTTATCTCTGGTTTCTATTAAAACAGTTTTGTTTGCAGCATGAAGCTGAGCTGCTGCATTAAGAGATGAGAAAGCTGCAACTAAAAGTTGGCATCTAAGGATTTCTCATATCATTCTATGTTTTCCTCAACAGACAGACTGCACACATTTATATTAAATCTACTTTTTCATTTTAAACCAGATAGTTTAGGAGACAATGAAACTTTTAATGGTCTTACAACCCCTTAAAATAGGATAGAGTTGAAAAATATATATCTGTGAATTCAAGTACATCTACTTGGACTGAAAGAAGGAAAATGAGGATGTGAAGATGATGGGATGGAGCAGCTCCCCTGTGAGGAAAGGGATTGTTCAGAAGAGAAGGCTCCAGGGAGAGCTCAGAGCCCTTGCAGAGCCCAAAGGGGCTCCAGGAGAGCTGGAGAGGGACTGGGGACAAGGGATGGAGGGACAGGACACAGGGAATGGCTCCCACTGCCAGAGGGCAGGGATGGATGGGATATTGGGAATTAGGAATTGTTCCCTGGGAGGGTGGGCAGGCCCTGAATCCCTGGCAGTGCCGAAGGCCAGGTTGGACACTGGGACTTTGGAGCTGCCTGGGGTAGAGGGGAAGGTGTCAGTGTTTAATGTCCTTCCAACCCAAGCCATTCTGGGATTCTGTATTTTTTTGGCACGAAGTTTATTTAAATGAAACCCCCAAATACCACTTCTCTATATCTGCACCGTTTAAACCTAAAATGTGTAGTTATAGATTCTTTAAGGAAAGGATTAACAGCCTTTACTGGGGCCATAGATGCTATGGTTAATTCTGCAAGAAATTCAGAGGGTCTGGAATCTCTCTTGAGTTCTTGTGCTCCCCAAAGTGTCATTGCTTCAGGGCTGCATGAGTGATGTAGAAGAGCAGTAATGTCACAGTTGGTCTGGTACCCAGATCTGGGTCTGTTTGCAGCCAGGAGTTGCACTTGGTGATCCTTGTGGCTTCCCTCCACTTCAGGATATTCTGAATTCTGATGCTACTTGATGGATAGGAGCATATGGCAAGTGATTCCCTATACCCAAGACATCCCACAGGCTCAGATAAACCAGAATTGTGCAATGAAACAGGTGATTTTTTTCAGGGATACACAGGGGTCTGAGTCTGGGGGTTGCTGTGCCCCTCTGCAGGGTGGCACTGGGATATTCTGAGCACGGAGGGCACACGTGTTCCAGTGGCAAGTGGCTGCATCCATGTGCTCTTAATAAAAACAAGGTTTATTGTTTCCACACCTCTTCTGTCATCTTTTCACAGTCACAGAGGCAATAATTAGCTAGGGACATTACAGATGCATTAATTAACCAGGCTGGAGAGCACAGGGCAGCCTGCAAAGCAGGCACTTAATGGAATTTGAAGCAGAGACAATGGTGTTGTTTACTGGGTGATGTGGGAGTTGCCAAGCAGTGTGTCCCCACGCAATTAAACACCACTGCACATGTGCTAAAAAGGAATATTTGAATGGGATTATGGAGCAATTACAAGTTGTCTTATTGTGCTGGCTCAGTGTCCCCCTGGGGTTACAGAAAGCAGCTCCTGCAGGAAGCTGGCAGCAGCAGTGTTTGCTTGCTGAAAGCTTTCCATTGTTCCTGCCCTAATTGAATACTTAGAGCAGGACTGGGACGGTGTCCCAGGGGCTCAGGTTCACTCAGGTGCTCCCTCAGGGAACGAGTTATTTCAGGCCCGGATTATAAGGTAGGAGTTCCCTCAGAGATCTCCAGGCCCCCACATTTCACAAGGACACCCCATCTTTGCCCTGGAGACTCCTTGATGGTACCTTGATGCAGCACTTGGAAAAGCAGGATAAGAATCAGCTGGTTCATCCACAGGATTGATCCTAGAGCTTGCAGGGTCTCCTCTCCTGCTCTCCTTGCTGGCTCTGGAGGAGGCACTTGGAGGCCTTTGGGATTTCTGTTGCCAAACCAGCTCTGTACAAAGGGAAAAGGACTGGTTTATTTTAGCCAGCTGCTGGTTTCCAGCCTCCTGGCATGAGGCAGCACCAGGAAATGGAACTGGCCCTGCAGCCCTGAACCCCCAGACAACAGGAGTGAAAGCCCTTGCCCAGGGAGGTCAGTGTGGGATCAGTGCCTGTAACACAGCTCCCCTGGCAAAACCTGTACCAGGACTGGGGCACCAGCAGCGCTCCTGGAGCTTCCAGGGAGCGAGGAGCTGGCCCAGGGCAGGAGGGCTGACCCTCCCCACCCCAGGGCTGGTGATGCTGCACATTGCAGAGCCACCAAAGGCAGGAGTGGTCTCACCCTGTTCCTTAGCTCTAAAGCAAAAGCTGGGAGTTTCCTGAGAAGATGCTGAACTTCCACAGAGCTTCTCCTGAAGGCAGCAGCACTTGGGGTGATTTTCATTCCCTGGCTGTGTTTCTCATGGCAGCCTCTGCACTTCCCAGTTCCTTCCAGCCCAGGAAGCAGGCACGCTGGCACACTGTGACTAACGCTGTACTTGTTGTTCCTGCCCAGAAGCAAACACTCCTGCAGATCTTGAGGGAAAGGATTGGGTTTGCAGCCTGTGCTACAGAGCTGCAGATGTCTCAGCACTGCGTGTGTGTCACCATCTCTTCCCCTTTCAAGGAACAAAATACTCCTGGCCTGGTGGCTTTAAACCATGGAAAGCACTAAGAGGCTTTCAGCTTTGCAGAGAACTTGCCTGTGTGGGTGTCTTTTAATGGTCTGTAGCAATTATAAGAACAAAATATTCCTCTTTTCACAAAGGTGGGGTTTTTTTTAAAGGAAAGGGGTTTTCTGAGTGCTCTGAGATTTCAGTCACTTCTGAGCTCGCAGAGTGAGAATATGTGATATGCTCTTCCCTGAAGCATCTGACACTGAGATTTTTTCTCCCTGTGCATTACTTTAGATTTCTGTCCCTGTGCTCTGGGCTGCAGGAATTAGACTTGCAAGTATTGCCCAGAAAGTGGATCAAGTGCATGTTTTGAATCTATTCCAATCAGGCCAATCCCTCACCCTCTATGAGAGATCTGTGGGAGAACTTTGTGAGGTTAGTTTTTCACTGGAAATTAATTCCAAAATCAAAACATAATTAGAAAAAAGAGAAGAAAAATGTTTGGAAGAGAAAACAGCCTTGACACTGGGGGGTGATTCCAAGAGAATTTGCTCACAGGTGTGCTTGTCCCTACTCTGCAGAGATTATCTTTAAATTTTTTCAAAGTAAATAAACTCTGATGCATGGGGCTGAGGAGCAGCTTGACAAACTGTGAGCCACCGTTCATTCAAACCACAGCCCAGCAGCACAAGGGCTTGAACCCTCCTGGGGATTCAAAGCCAGCTGAGTTGGGAACCCCTCACCTTTGGGCTGAGCATCCAGGTGTGTGCAGCTGTGTACAGGGAATTGTGGCACTAATGTACAGGGATTGTGGCACTGCTGCAGAGAAGCAGGGATGGTGCCAGCCTGGAGGAGGGCAGGGCAGGGGGTCCCTGCGCTCTGGGCTGTGTGGGGCTGAGGCAGCACTCACAGAGCTGGGGGTTGTTCCAGCAGGATCCACCAGGACCTGTTTGTGTCAGGCACAGAAAGAGCCCCTCAGCAGAGCAGGGGGAGGCAGAGAGAAGCTGCTTAGAGCCTGCAAACCCCTCAGCACGAGGTTCAGGAGGTGGAAGATGCTGAGGAGAATGCATCCCTTTCCCTCTGGGTACTCAGCTTGTTCTTGATAGAGGCTTTTGTGAGGCTTATTAAGCCAAGACTTCCCTGTGTCCCAGAGCAATCAGGTATGGAAATGACACAGAAGTGCTTTTAAGTGCCAGGCGTGGTTGGGTGAGCACTAAGGAAGCCTTGCCTCTAACATCCCTCTCTTTCCACCCAGGGATGACTTGCCAGGCTCGCAGCTCCTACATGGACACCGAGGTGCTGTGGGGACACCGCTTCACCCCCGTGCTCACCCTGGAGAAGGATTTTTACGAGGTGGACTATAACAGCTTCCACAGCACCTACGAGACCCACACGCCCGTGTGCTGTGCCAAGGAGCTGGCCCAGTCCCGCCGGGAAGGGCAGCTCCTCGGGCCCCTGCCCAGCCTGGGGCGGGACACAGGGACAGCCAGGGAGGACGAGGAGGAGGAGGAGGAGGAAGGCAGGGAGCCGGCGGGACTGAGCGGAACCAACGGGACAGCGGGAGAGGGGAAGGAAGAGGTGCCTGTATAACCCCGGAGCCGCTGGAGCACAGCCCCCCTCACACCTGCTGGGACACTGCACTGGCCAGCCAGGAGCCCCGGCAGCCAGAGCTGGGGTTCGTGTCCTGCTGCTCGTCCTGGGAGTCACTGCACTGCACCGTGCCTCAGTTCCCCCCCTTTCCCTGAGGCTCTGAGCTTTGCCCTCCTCTGCAAAGCATCTCGATCTCCATGGACAAGGCCCTCTGTTCTCATCACTGTCAAAACCATAATTCCCACCGCTGGTTCTTTCAAACAGTGTTCATTGGACGTGCAGAACTCTGCCCCTCTTGCCAGGGTGTTTGACCAGTCCAGAATGTCCCATCTCAGTATGAAGAATGTGATTTCATACCTTCACTTAACTTGTGAGTCAATGTATTGTAGACATTGTTCCAGCTAAATTAAAAGAAAAGGTAAAAACCTCCCTGCTATGTAGTGAAGTGTTTTGCCTTCATGAATTTTACAAACAAATGTTACTGTTTGCTTCCAGGATCACAGCCATTGGGATTTATTTCCTACAAAATGTTTGATATGAGCAGGACACCTTTCCCTGCAGACCTTTAACATGCTTATCCAATGTTTTGTCTTCTCCAGCTGAAGTGTTTCACGTACTCTTTTCATGGAATCTCTGACACATTGCAGAGGCTACCCATGGTCAGAGCAAGTTTAGATTTTGCCCCAGTGAAGGCTTTTTTCTGGCCTGAATGTCCCAGTTACAGTTCTAATTGATGATTTGATGATTTAAAACAAAGGATGTAGTCCCGTGGGGGTTGGAATGTTCTGGAATTTCAGAGGCTCTGGAGTAGGGAGACTGGGTAAATGGCAGTTTGCAAAATTCGCTGCTTTTCTGCAAAGCACATATTTAAAATAAAGGTTGAAGTGCTGATGTTCCTGCAGCTAATGGGAACACACTGACATAACTGAAGCCAACAATTTTGATCTTTAGAAAGAGGCAGAAAACCAGATTTCCCAAAGAGAATTGTCTCATCCAGAAAAGGAATGAAGAAAAGCAATCTGTGAGATAAAAGATTTCCACAAATTTCAACAACACAGAAAAAAAATTGCCTTGTTGGGGAAAATCTCTTCCCTTGCTCCTAAAAATTTGGTGGAAAAAACAGGCTACCTGCAGAATTACTTTAATAAGATGAGGAATACATAATATGCAAGAGTTATTTTTCATAGAGAAAGGACTGTATCTTTATCTGGGGAATAAATGTGCATTGTCTGGACTGAGCTGCACACTCAGGATCTGAAATACAGTTTTGCCTCTTGATTTTAATACAAAGACAAGATAAACTGGAAAAGAAAGCAGTGGTCTTACTGACATGGAAACAAGGAGGAGAATACAATCTGTAGGGGTCAGAGATACCATTTACTTAGAGATATAATCTTATAGTGTAGGGAAAAGAGAAATATGTGGGGTTTTTCTGAGGGTTGGAAAGGACCACGATGTGGCTGTGTTGCACTTACACCATGTTAGGAGCCAGCAGCCAGCTCAGCCTCCAGGGTGCAGGAATTACCTCTCAGTTATACAGCATATTTTAAGGGAAGGAACTCCACTGGAAATGCTCATTCGTTCTAGAAAGCATTTTGCAGCCTCAGAGTGGCCAGAACTTTTCCAGAGGTCTCATTTTTGTTTTTCTGCTGAGATTCTTCTTTTTCTACCCTGAGCCTCAGAGGAACAGAGAGAAGAAAACAGAGAGAAAAATGAGATCCTTAGAATGACTTGTTCATTTTCTGAGACCTTCTCACCCAACCTCTGCAAGATAATTACATGTCAAAAATCCAAACTGGGTTTCAGATTTTCTTCCTCTGTAGCGGAAGTGATCTCCTCCTGCAGGAGATGGAAATGGAAAGCAAACCTGCAATGGGTCTGTGCAAGTCCGAGGCAGTTGGAGCCCTCGGAGGGATGTTACAGAAAGCCTGCCCTGCCTTGTCCAGCTCAGCTGGCCATGAGAGAGATTTGATGGGTCCCTCCTGTGAGGCCAGAGACAGAGCCTGGAAAATGGCAATGAACTCCCTCTGCACCTTTTTCCTCCGTGGCTCTTGCCTCCCAGAGAGAAAATGGCCATCTTCAAATATCCCAAAAGCTCTTTAGTGTGCTCATTGCCCTCAAGATCTCACCCCACAAAACTGCTCCTTCCTAAGTCTCTTGAGTCTGGGAATTCACATATCCTCCTGTGAGGAGTTTGGGTTGCTGCTGGCCGGATATCTGCTGAAGGATGGGTTGTGCAAATCCATCTTAGGGCATGGGGGGTAGCACAAGGCTTGTTTTGTGTTTGGAATCTGCAAATACACCCCAGTGACTTCCTGAATTGAGGTTTCAAACTGTGTCTGCATGAGCTGAGCCCAGGAATTTCCCTGGTTCTGGAGGATGGAGAAACCCTCCTGCATTCCTGACTGAGCTGAGCAGATCCAGAGCAGAGGATCCCCCAGAGCTGGGGGCACCCTATGTTTCCTGTATTTTCAAACCATATTTTCAAGTTGTGTAGCCTGGCCACCACTTCTGGGGGTTCAGGGACCCCTTCCAAAGTCTGTCAGGCAGTCCCCAGGGTTGTCGTTTTCCTGAAAGGGTTTTAATTTAGTGAGTGTATTGAACTTTCCTGAAAGTGAGGGGGAGCACGTCTTCCAGAATTGTCCTCTCTGACAATTGGATCAGTTTCCCTGCTGTTCACCAGCGTGTGCAGGACAATAAACCACGGGAATAAAAGCATAAAAGATCCACTATTTACTGTAATGAACATTTAAATACAAAGCTGCATCTCTTATGGGAGTTGAAATAACTCACACAGATATATCCACCCACGTAAATACCCCATTTAAACTCTACACTCATCAGTGTACTTTAAAAAATGTTAACTAATACTCCACAAGAAACATTTATAACCTGTAAGCATGCTATTCACCCATGAATAACCATTTCTATAATGGACCAAGTAAACAAGCTAAAAATACATATTCAAAACATGGAAAACATCTGCTTTATGAATGTATCACTGATAAGGCAAAGTCGCAACAGAATCCATCCACAACTCATGTAGGAGCCACTTATGCATAACAGGGGCTCTCAGAAGCTGCCAGTGTTGTGTGTGCAAACATTTCCACCTGAACGCTGCATTTTAACACAGCACCTGAGGGCTGGCTTATTAAACACGAGCCCAGGTGCCTCTCTGCACACAGTGTGTCCCCAGCAGGCAAAGCTGCACCTTCAGAGCATTTCCCAGCAGCACAGAGGCAGGCTTCACGTGGCACAGCACAAACACCCTCAGAGTGCAGAGCAGGGCAGGAGCTGGATGCCAGGGTGTGCTCCTGCCCTGCAATCACCCATGAGAACCTGGGAGCAGCCAAAAGCTGCATTCCCTGTGCTTTATTCTCAGGGTGGGCAGCAGCTCTCCAAGAGGAGAGGCAGGGGAGCACAGCAGAGGCTCTGTGCTCAGCTGCGTTTTGTGGGAGGCTTTGGGAATACACTGGGAGGGAGCCCTGCACACCCCATGGTTTTATTGATCGGCTGCTTTCCCAGACCCAGCCTTTGAGCTGTTCTATCCTTGGGCAGTGCCACTGGTGCTCATGGAGGGCCAAGCTGGCCTGGGTGCCTTGGGTGCTTCTTTCTCCTGTATGAATCCCCATGTTTATGCATATTAAGACTTTTCATTTTGACTGGAGTTAATTTCTTAGACTGATCTGAAAATGGAGTAAAAAAACCCAGCCTCTGCTTTGGCAGATGGTTCTGGGCAGGGGTTAATCAATATCCCTCTTAGAAATGTACCTTTATTTTTCATTTTAATTATTCTGGTTTTAATTTTCACTTATTGCAAGACTCATCACTCATTTTAGGCTTAAATTTACCGCCCCATTGTTTTCTCTCTCTTGTTACTATGAATATATTTCCATCAGAAAGGGTGGATCATGGACCTGAGAGAAGAGGGAATGTTATTTATGCTCAAGTAATTAATACCCAGTGATAAGCTCTGTTTCCTGCCAGCCATATCTCCTGCAATATATGAGGGGCAGGTTGCCAGGATGTGTTAAACAGCAGTGTGGTGGAGGACAGAGAAGATGCTTAATTAAGGTCCAGGGAAACCAGGCAAGCTTTCAGAAAAGTGATTCCATTCAAAGTCCAAGGAACTCCGGAGAGTCTGCTGGAAGTGACACCAGTCAGGGCTCCATTTCCAGGGGTGCTTGGTTTCTTTGGTGGCTGTAAGGAGCAGCAGAATCTAGATGCTGGCATTTAATTCCATGAGGAAGTCAGGGCTGAATTCTGATTTCATTTTGGGTGATCATGCTCTCTCAGGGAAATGGGGAAAGGTTCCAGGGGAGCCCAGTGGGTCCCTCAGCTTTCCCAACAACTATCAGACCAGAACATTCTTCTTAAGTCCTGCCTTAGGGAATGGAGGGAAAAGATGCACTTTCAGACCCTGTTGTGCGTAAGAAAATGCACACAGGGGAGTCTGTGCTGAGCAACTGGTGCTGGTGGATAATTTCTGCTGAAAAGTAAAATTCAATTCTGCAGCTTTGCTGAAGGAAGTTTGTTGCTCTCCTTGCAGGACTGAGCTGTTCTGCTTAGCTGGAACCAGACAGCACAAACATGGAACTGCTTTTCCAAGAAGGTGAAATCTGAAGTTCCACTAAAATCTGTGCTTCACATGTTGGGGTGAATGCAATTCTAGAGCTGCTCCAGTTTAGCAATCACTGAAGGTGTGGGCAAATACAGACTCTGGTTCAGTTGGGTGGTCTTAAAGAATGAATGAAAAAAAACCAGCCTGGTTTCATTAACTCCAGTAAAACCAGGAGTAACTCCTCAAAATGAGAGCTGTATTTTGGTTGGATTGGTGATATCAGAACCAGGACATGAAGTGGTTGTAAAACTCTGCTTTAACTCACGAGTATTTGCATCATGGTCCATCTCTGAGTAGGACAGAGGAGGAAATCAGGGGCCTTTCTGTACCTGGGAATAGAAAGGAGCTGATCCATTCAGCACAGTGGGATTTGCTGCTCTCTGGGTGTTTCTCAAATCCCAAAAGGACAGGATGACCTCCTGATGCAAAGAGAGGCAGGTGTAGCACTGCACAGCAAAGAGCTGAGCCTTTCATTTACCAAATGCTGTAAAGAGCAGCAGATGAGGAGGAGGAGGGGAGGCCTGGAGCCATCAGACAGGGCTTGTTTGCCCCAGGGGTGACAAGGACTCCGTGTCTGTTCGATGAAACCAGGGCTGCTCTGTTCCAAGCAGCAAAGGGGGCAAGCCAGGGGGGTTCCAGCTCAGGGAGCTCCATCCTTACCCAGTTTGTGTCAAATTTAACTGAGTCTCATTTCCTACCAAATAGGGCAAGTTATTTAAGGAAGGGTGATTCAAAATTGAAACAACTCTATCCTTTCAAGCCTCATCTTGTAATTGAAATATTCATAAAGCTCTTCATTCAGCATAAG